AGGAATTTTAACAATACTTATTCAGGGAAATATGATCTTTGCTGGTATTTCGTCATTTGTGGGTTGTTTTTGTTTTGTTTATCAGTTTAAGTGGTAGACAGCTTTCAAACCAAACCCTGATAAAAGCAGACAGAAGTGGCAAGGTGATTAGCGCTAGTGAGCTGTGTGAATGTCAGGTGCTACTGGTTTTGTTGTAATGTCTTTAAATATTGCAAAACATTTCACTTCTGATGATAAACTGTGTTAGGAAACAGCTGACTCTTAGGAAGCTGCAATGAGTAATACTGGAAATACTACAAGGATTACCTATCGCATGGTAAAGTAGCCAGGTATGATGACTAATGCATTGATTCAGTCAAGCGTAGCCAGATTTAATGACTAACTGGAAGTCAGAAAGCTAAGAAAACATGAAAACATAATGTATTCCAAAGATACCAGATAAAGCATGTATGAAATTTTCTGCCCTTCACGTTTCTGCATTTACATAAGCAAAGGCTAAAAGCATCTCAGACCTCTTCATAGCTATATGCCTTATCTGGTCTGTGACATGGACCCAATATCTCCTGTACAGGGACAGTAAGAAACTTTAAGAAATTACAGCTTAAGTGCTCTGTGATACTCTTTGTTAAAGGTGCTATGCATTTGCTTTATTTATCTCCTTCACTCAGCCTGCCTTCCTACCTATCTTTCAGCATCCTCCCTTTTCATCTCCATCTCCCCACCCAAATTAGTAGCCACTGCTTATGCATTTTGCTCTTACTTGTGACTGAAAGCCATCTTCCCTTTAGCCTCCTATGAGTCTTTATGTTAACCTTTCCTTTCTTCAAGTACTTTCTTTAAAGTATACTCCTTCCAAAGGGTTCCCAGGTTAAATAACCGCTAAACAATTATGGACTAAAAAGCTGCACTGTGTCAAAAACTTTCAAATAAAAATGATGATGAGCGTTACACCTGAACGTTCAGTGATGGAGAGTCACATCTTTGTGCATTGTCCAGTTCAGAGTAGGTATATTTTTGAAATAATGACTCTACTACACAAGGTTTTTGATGTGTAGCATTTTGAAGCATGGAGGTCTTGGATATATCTATATCTTTGTGGCTGTGCAGTTCTGTTCCTCAGCATTGATAAACTCCATTTCATCAACATGGAGCATAAATAAGCTACTCTAGAACATCCTCCGGGGATTTCATGACAGGTTACAACACCAAAATATTTTCTTATTAAATCATAAGTTCTTTGAATCCAAATATCAAAACTGCAACCAGCATGAGTTTGCTGTGGCCAGATCCATTTGAAAATTATTATTCCAAATACTAACTCAGCTTAGCAGTTTCTTCATTATCAAAAGGAGAGTCACAAAACCCAGTGAATCATTGTGGGCGACAGGCAATCGGAGGAGGAGGAGGACTGACAGGAACAAAAGCAGCCAGAGTTGGCAGGATTCTGCTGGGTTTTTTTCAGTACCGGTGTCCTGAAGAGAACGGGTATCAAAGGCAGACAATGACATTGAATGTTCTACTGTAGATAATAAATGAAGAATAAGCTCATAAATTTGGAGGATTTTCTCATTGTCTGCCTGTTTTCCAAAATACCTGTTGTTGTATATTGACTTTTAACTAGCCTGGTACAAAGAGCTAATGTAAAGACAGCAAAGCTATCTTTAAGAATTGAAGTTGTAGACTTACGTAATTCTCCACTGTGACTTGACTTAGGACAGGTAATGCAAGTTTTTAAAATTGTGATGGCTTAAAATAATATGCTCTATTATTAAGCCTACAGCTTGAGTGTATGTAAAGGTGTAACAAGAGGTTCAGTACAAATATTTGAATCTAAAATACTGATTGCCCTTTTGTAACGTCTTTCGAGTTCTCATGCTCTGTGCCTAGAGAACAGAGAAGTTTGCCAAGTTACTCTGGTGGCCTTTAAAACTCAACTGTGTACTAACATCTGGTGATAGGATCGTACCACAGTTGTGCTTGCTTTTTTATTTTCTTTAATCTTTCTATAATACGTAATTGTTCAAACAGTATCAAGGCCTTTCAGCTATGCTGAACTTTCGAAACAGCATTCCACTAGTTTTTGGTCCTGGCAACGTTCTGATCCGTCGCTGACTCCTTTTCTTTGCGATATACTGCCGTTGGGCCAAGGTCTAGAGGCCTGCTCCACAAATGTGGGTCATGTCCGGATTATTTAAGGTTAACACCTCTGGGTTGGACCAGCCTTGGCCATACTATATTACTGGTTGGAAAGCATCATGACATAGTCTGCCTCTTTACTGTCCTTAGGATGCAAACTCTGGAGTAAATTTCACCTCAAGCATACTCACGTCTCCTGGTTAACAGTTTCTAATTTGCTTGAAGTCACTACGTTGTTTCGTGTGGTATACACAATGTTCCTCGCGCGGTATTTGTCTGCACAGCTATATCAAAAGGGAACAAAACTTGATCGTTTGAATTTTTTCGACTAATGTTAATGGCAAACTACAAAGCATATAACTGTTTCTCCTCCAGAATGTACTTTTACAGGGAATGCTAAATATTTATAGAGGGAATAATAAACATTTATATATCTGTATCATGTTTCCTTAGAGTGAGATGATGATCGTCAGAGTGCTAACGGAAATGAAATTTAGGCTCACTTATTTTAATTTTATCTGTACCCAAAATGAACATGAAGCATTGGCTGAACAGTGTAAATGCTCATATCAGACATTTTCTACAAGAAAAGGGTTTCATTGTAGAAGGAGTATTTCCTCTGAGATTTTATTGTGAGTACTAAAAATTCAAAGTTATCGGTTATTTCACTCAAGCCATGAAAGAAAAGATCTGAAATACCTTCAAAGTGTCTTGTTTAGGCTTTATTACTCAGGAGATATTTGAAGTTGTCAGCAGGGTGTTGTTTGTTTGATGGGTGGCGGTGTGTGTGTGTGTGTGGTGTGAGGGCAAGTTTTTGGTTTTGTTTTTTTGTCTCATTCTGACCTCTTCTCTAGTCTAGTGTTAGCGATGTAGTCTTCTGTCTCTTCTGTGGGCAAACTGCCACTGATATCAATGGAGGAAGTAAACTTTGAAATTGGTGGGTAGGTTGCCCTTACGAAAAATTTTCAGCAGTCATAAATCAGTGTTGACTGATAGGTCAGCATATGTCCTAGAAATGAGGAAAAAATTGTAGAAGGCTTTTTGTGTTTATGCTTATTCAAATCATATTAATTCAGAAAAGCCACGTGGAAGAGCCATACAAAATTTCTTCTGTTTTCCTCATCAAAGAGAATATACGTTGTGAGTGTAACTAAATGTCATTCACATATTTCTCAGAGGGTTTATTTTCTCTTATACTAAATATAAGTATGTTATTATTTATTATATATAAAGTATTTTATTATCTTATACTGATCCCCAGGGGTCAGTTCTGGGTCCAGTCTTGTTCAATGTATTCATCAATGACCTGGAGGAAGGGACCGAGTGCATC